TTAAGTGTTCTTGCTTGTGTAAATTATTGACTTCTGCCTTGTTTTATTTCGACCCGCTGTCAAACGTATGCCCTGGCCCACGTTTTGCTGGGGAAATAAAGCGGAATTGCTGCGAATCGGTTCCCGGAGCCCCCTGGGCGAGGGCAAATCCGCTCAGCACCGGGTCCCAAACTCCCCCTGGGCGCGCCCCTTTGTCTTACAACCCATTGCGTTTGCTTGCATTTTGAAATTACAAATGAGGAAAAGTTTTGAGTTTAACCAACAAGAGCATATCCAAAAATCCCTCGCTGCGTCCATTGGTAATTATATGTTATGTGTTCGTTTGTGCTACATGATGGGTGTGTAATTGTTTTTCCTTCTTCGTTTCGCTGCTGGAAGTATTCCCTGGCCTACATAAACCAATAATTTCGTGAAGTTGCGGGGGGGCTTGCAGAGCCGCCGCGGCGGGCGGGGGGTCGAAGGGCCCGGCGGCGCGCTCGAAGAGCTTGCGGGGTCTCGCCAGACAGCGAGAAATCGAACGCGGCCAGTACGGCGACGGGTGGTAAGTGGCCGTTTTGGCGCACGACGGGAAATTGAGGCGGCAGACTAATTTGGAATTCTCGCACTTCTCTGTCTGCTCCTGGTACGGGGGCGTCTTGGGAATGCCGTCGTGGGGGGCGCCGTCCGCGGCCTGGCTGTGCCAATGGCCGGCTTCGGCGCCGCACCCGGTGCGGGAGTGCGGGAGTATTGGGGCAGACGGCCGGGGGTGCAGTCACCCAGCCCGTCTGCTGCGTCATGTCCGCCGCGGCCTGGCGCGCGGAGAACGACTGCAGGACGGCGCCCTTGCAGTGCTTCTTCACGGCCTTGGCGATGGCGGTCTCCAGGGCCATCCACTTGTCACAAGGTTTTTTGGCGGCCAGCGCGGCGGCAGCGGCGTGCAAACCGCGCTGGAACGCCTTATCCTTGTGCCCTGTCGGGCGGTATGTCCGCAAGCCCCGCTTGCAGCCCACCAGGGCTGCCGGCCACTGCGTTGGTTTCGCCGCGGCGATCTTCGAGGCCAACTTCCTAGGATTCTGGCGGAAACGCACGCCCATTGCAATGAACAACTTCTTCGTTGGGCAGGTTGTCGTGGCCATGGCGTCCTGGATCTCTACGGAGACCCGGTCCTTGAAGCGGTTGGGATGCCCGAACTTTGTGTCGCTCATGAGCCCCACCGTTGCGTCGATGTCCTTGGCCACACGGATCCACGCAGGGAGCTCGTGCAGTCGCAGGTAGGGCCTGGGGGCCTTCTGCTCCCGACGCGCGTGGAGGCGCCGCAGAAGAAACTGAAACATCGGGAAAGTGATTTCCGTGCGCTTCCACGTCCTGTAGTTCGTCCGCACGGCCTTGAACCGGCCGTTGGCCTGACCGCACCGAGCTTTCTGGGGTCCGGCCGCTCGGCCGCCTTTTTTGCCGCCGCGGCGCTGGGCGGCGAGCAAGTCGCTGCATTTCCAGCATCGCCCCCGCCTGCTCAGGCGGTGCCGGGGACGAAGCTTGCAGTACCGAACCTTTGGTTGATTCGGCATGGCCGCGCACGGCCGGGTCTCGGCAGACCCTCGTGCAAAAATAGCTATGGGGGGAGCAGGGGGAGGAGGGGGGGAGAGGAGGAGGAGGAGGAGGAGGATGATGAGGAGGAGCAGGAGCAGGACCAGGAGGAGGAGGAGGAGGAGGAGGAGGCTGGATAATGTGAAGGATAAGGAGGATGCAGGATGGGGAGGGGGGGGGGAGGAGGATGCAGGAAGAGGGGGGGTAAGAGGAAGAGGAGGCGGAAGAGGCGGGGGAGGAGGAGGAGGAGGAGGATGCAGGAGGAGGATTGGGAGGAGGCGGCAGGACGAGGTTAAAGAATGGGGAAGAACGAGGAAGGGTAGAAGGTATGAGGAGAAGGAAACAGAAAAGTAGCGCATGGTGAATATACACAGGACGGCGGGGGCCCGTACAGTCCGTCAGACATGCGAAACACAGGAACGGCAGTGGCTTTCTAAGCCTCTCGGGGGGTGGCGAGAAGTTGCGACCAGTTGCACGGGCGGGGTTGCCACACCTTGCGATCACTCTGGGAATGACGGCGGCGCGGTTACCCGCGGCGCACATGAACGGGGCTGGCCTTCGGGCACTATCAGGGGGCTGAGACCAGTTGCAACAAGTTGCACAGGCAGGGTTGCCACACCTTGCGATCTGTGTGGAAATGACGGCGGCGCGGTTTAAATCGAAGCGGGGTGCTGCGGCGGTTGCGACACCGACTGGGGCGGGGAGCGGCGGCTCATTTTGGAAACAGCGGTCCGCTCAAGAAACGCTGCAGCGTGAGAGCACAACGTCTCCCGCGCCGGCATGAGAGGAGACAAGCCTGCGCCTGTCCTTGTTCAAGAGTCAACACCCCCTGCCCCGGAAGGCTCAAGTGTTCCTGGGGCCCCACTTGTGGCAGCCTCCTGGAGCCTCTTCGGGCACGCTCGTCGTGCTCGCCTGAGACCAACAGACCTAAGCACGCCTAGCCGAGCGTGGCCGGCTCACCGAGCGCGAGGTGCATGCGCTTCGTGATCATGCCCTGCAGGTCCGGGTCGAAGTCGCCCAGCTTCCTCTTGAGCACGTGGGGGGGCTTCTTCAGGAGCTCCACGGTGGCCTGCATCTCCGTCTTCCAGGCGTCGAGGGAAGTTCCAGTGGGCTGCTTCCACATGTCCGCGTCGGTGACCACCTTCCCGGGCACGTCGACGTGGGTCACGCGCACCAGGGCCACCTCCTTCCGCGGGAGCGCGAAGTACGCCAACCGGCTTGCGGGCGCAGACGTCACAGTCTCCCACGGCTGGTCCGGGTGGTCGCCGCGCGCCTCCGTCACGAAGTTGCGGATCGCGAAGCCGTCGGCGGCAGGCTCCGTCTTCGGCTCCTTGGCGCCGACGATCATCACGAGGATGCCGCTCGCCAGCCGTCGCCCACCGTCACCTGGGAGCGTGATGCTGATGAGGCCAGTGGGGGACGTTGACGCCCAGGCCAGCTGCGCCGGCACCAGGCGCGCGTCGCTCGGAGGGACGAGGTTGGGCTCGGGCACGTCGAAGTGCCGGCACTGGGCGGCCACGACACTCAGCGACGGCACCGTGCTGTCCTTCGGGGCGTCGAACCGCACGCGCAGGCGCGCCTTCGAGAAAACGAGACAGCCGGCGCTTGCCTGCTCGAGGAACTCCTCCTTGTCCTTCGTGTCCGTCAGCGTCAGCGCGACTTTCTCGGTCATATCTGCAGTGACGGTGCGGGCGAAGTCCGCGACGTCGACCTTGGCCCAGATGCGCGTCTTGTCCTTGTTGAGGAGGTCCTCGGCGCCCGCGCTTTGCAGAGAGACCAGGGCGCCCGTGATCTCGAAGAGCGCCTGGGATAGGGGCTTCTTGATGTGCGCGGCGCACTCCAGGACACCTGCGTGAGCGCTGCATGCCGGCCCGCTCCCCCAGTCGCGGCTGCTCTCCCACTTGGACAAGCTCTCCTTGTTCTTCGCCGGCAGAGCTTGCAGGTTGCTTTCACCGAGCGCCCGGGCGATGGGCCTGTCGCCGGACGCCTTCGGCACGAGCGTCTCCTCGCGGGCGGTCAAGTGGATGCCCCCGGAGCTCTCCGCCACTAGGTAGGCGCCGTACACGTACAACGGCTTGAACTTTTCGATATCACTCGCCAGGTGCTGGGTGTCGGGCCGGAAAATGAGCGGCATCTCCTTCCCCGAGGCGTTCGACAGGGTCACCTTGACGTTGGAGTTGCCCTCCGTCGCGCCCGTAGACCCTGAGACTTCCATAGCGACGGCCGTGACGTCCACGAGCTGGCTGGTCTCCAGCTCGAGCAGGTGGAAGGTGGTCATCGGCGGCTCCGCTTCGGATGGGATGGCCTTGGCAGCGTCGCCCGTGATCAGCTTGGTGGAGAGCGGCTTGTGCCCCAGATTGAGGACGAAGGGGTGGGGGCACGACTGGAACTGCGGCTTCTTGACCTGCATCTTCATCTTGGTGAACTCGTGCACGGTGTCTTTCTTGTACTTCTTCGTCAACGCATCGACGACCTTGGCGCGCTGCTGCCCCTGTCCGAAGACGACGGCCTCGCCCTTCGTGTACAGCCCAGATTTGGACACCAGCGTGCAAGAGAACACGTGCATGTTTTTGCCCGCCACTTCCCGACTGTCGGGAAAGAGAACGCGGGCTTGCAAAGTCTTGCACGCCGCGTTCGTGTTGTTCACTTGCTCCAGGGGGTCCGACATCGCGCCGCCTTGGCACAGATTAGGAAGCGGAAAGCCAGGGAGAAGGCGAAGTGAGTCGCGCGGCTCGAGCAACAATGGCGCCAGGTCGGGTTGCCACACCTTGCGATTTGGCAGCGCGAGCGCTGAAATGGGGGGCCGCCGTGCTGCCCCCGCCTGCCCCCCCGGGCGCCGAATCGCTGAGCGCTGCAACCCAGCTCGGCCCTGAATATACCGCGTCAGGGGGAAAGGGTGGACATGTTTTTCAAATGTCTCTCCAGCCCGAGAGAACCCGGGGCGGCCGCCGCTCGGGTTGCCACACCTTGCGATTCGGCCGCGCGCAAGATGAAACTGCAAGGTCGCGTAGACAGATCTCGTCCTGCATTACCCAGCAGCCATGGCGGTCCGGGGTTGCCGTTGCGGGGTTGCCACACCTTGCGATTGGGCTGCGAAACTACCGCTGAGTAAGGAGAGGGAACACATGTTGGTCGGAATGACCCCCTCCCCCCCTCCTGAGAGGACCTGGGGATGCCGCCGCTCGGGCGGCCGAGCCTTGCGATTCGGCGGCACGACCGATGACGCGACATGGTTGCGTAGAGTCCTCTGGGGGGAAGTGGAAGCGTGACGCTGGCTCCGCAGTTGCGCCCCCTGGCGCCCAATGGCCGGGCGCGGCCACCTCCCTGGGCGCCCCAGAGTACTTCGAGGAAGGGAGGGGGTTGAAATGTTGTCCTGAAGCGCTACTCAGCCCGAGAGGACCCAGGTGCGCCGTCGCCGGGGTTGCCACACCTTGCGATTCAAATACGCGCAATATGCAACATGATATGATAAGATATGTTGGCAGTCCGAGTGAGGAGGCCGGAATGTTTTCTCTCTGGCCCGCGGTCGCCCCACTCCCTGGGGTGGCGAATTATTGCGTGCGTTCGGCTGCGGCGTGGCGCCGAGGCACCTGGCCGCGCCGCGCGCGCGGCGTGCTCCGCGCGAGCGGCTACTGCTTCGCCACTGGCTTCACTTTCTGGGAAGATGCCACGGGGCGCTTCTTGAGCGATGCGCGGGCCAAGCGCCGACACCACTCCCCGCTCGCGTCATATCCTGCGTTCCAGGCGGCAAGATCACGCGTGTGCTGCAATCCGTACAAATGTTTGAGGCCGCCCATCTTCTTCGGCGGTAGCCGGAGAACTCGCAGGCCACTGCGCTTGCGCACGCGGGAAACGTCGACGTAGAACCCCTTCAAATCCAGATGAGGCGGAAAAGGCCGCGGCGCAATGCTAAGGATGAGCTCGTCCTTGGTCTTCCCCTGCAGCTTATAGTCCGTGACGGCGAAGGCAAGCGTGATCGCGTGGCCGCGGTAGCGGACAGATTTGGGCATGGCCTTGAGGCAGGAGAACAAAGACGTCATGTCATGCTCTTGCATGTGCCTGCTGCAGAGAATAGGCACCACCACGGCATCGTCAACGAGGCTCTCGATTCCTGCGCCATCGTCGCCGTCTGGAAGCACGAGTTGGAAATTGACGCTGAGCGGGGGCTCGTCCAACGCAGTTCTGCGATACCCGGCGGCGGCGGCGCCTCTGCGGCAGCTCGTCAAAGCGGGCGGAGCCAGGAGGGCGGCAACCCCAGCAGTGCTTCGTCGGAGGCGGGGCTACGGATGGCAGCCCCTCCAATGAAACGCGCCGCCCTCTTGTCTCACGCTCGTTTTGACTGCCGCCAACCTGCGCCCATGTCTTCCTCGAGCTCGCCCTGCGCAGTGACTGGGTGCATGTGCCCGCAGGCCCCGTTGACCAAGAATTTGGTAGGCTGAATGTTTTCAGTGAGCATGGCTGGCGCGCCTCTGACGAAATACCCCCATAGCCCAGGCTCGGTCTCGTAGAGCTCGTCGAGGCCCGCGCCGTCGAGGAGTTCGGCTGCCTTGCCAGTCAGAGGGAGCTTCCAGGTCAAAAGGGGTAGCTGGAACGCCCTCGCAAACGCCTCCACCTGCAAGCGATTCAGTTTGTGCCGCTCGAAGTTGGACAGGACCGCAATGGTGGCAAAAGCCCAAGCCGGGTTTGTCTGGACGTCTCTCGCAGAAACTTCTTGCAAATGGTTGACCAACGAAGATGGCACTGGCGTTGGACAGCTCGTGTCGCGTAACTGCAGCAACTCCTTTTGAAAGGCCGGGTCGTCGGCGACTCGCATCTGCTGCGTCAGGACAGTTCTGCGCGCCTGATGGCCGACCAGACCGCCCTCGCCCAGCCCGACGCCCCTCCCTCGTCTGATGGGGAGTGTTTCCAAGCCGCCAGACAGAAACTGGAAGTCCCCAGGATGGGCCCATCGCAAGCGTACAGGTTTGGGTTCAGGGTTGGGCTAGGGCGGCATGGCCAGCCACGAGAGCCTGTCGGAAGAACGCCACCCCCTTGGCCTTCGTGCTGGTCGGGTCGAGCGGCCCAGTCCCTCGCATCAGTTCGGGCACCTCCGTCGCGGCGAGCTGCTCGGCCATGGAGACGCCACCAGGCGGCGGCTTCTGCCAGGAATCGCCAGTCAGAATGATGGCAATCCCTCCGAACGGAGCGTCAGGTTCGCCCAGGAGGCGTCTTAGCTGCGTGTCGACGAGGCCGAGGGCCTGGGCGACCAGGAAGGAACACTCATCGATGACGAGAACCAGCAAGTCCTGCGGGCGGCAGACAGCTTGAGTGAAGTCCGCTCGGAGAGCCTGCAGCGCATCGTCCGTCATGCGCGCCGCGCCGGCCATGTTCGCGAAATCGATCTTCAAGAGAGAACGCAGCGTGGGGGGCCCGAAGGGCGCAGACACGACGCCAGTCCATGCCGTGACGACCATGACGCCCAGCCTCCGCTCTGCGATAATGGTCTTCATAGCCTCCAAGAGGACGCTTTTGCCGACGCCGCCAGCGCCCTGGAGCAAATGTATCTGGGACAAGCCGGCAGCCGCCAAACTCTCCGCAGCGTTGGCGCGCGGTTGGTTGGCCGCCCGCGCCTGCGCCAAGTGCTGCTGCACGGACAGGTGGTCCCTGGCGAACTGGCGCTGCGGGGGGTTCAGAGGAGGGGGCGGCCTTGGCGCCCCTGCGAGGAGCACGCCGCACTGTCGCTTCCATTCGGCCACCTCCACCGCAAACTCCTGCTGAGTGATGTCTGCGAAAGCTGGCGGGACGGACCCGCCGTCAGCGACAAGGCGGTTCGCGGCCTCTCGCGGGGACGGGGGCGCCGCCATGTCCTGAGAGCGAGGATTGGCAATCGTCTGCAGCACCGCGGCCATGCGGCCCCCGTCCTCCTGGAATCTCATGGTCGCGCGGCCCGTCGGCGACGGGGCGCCAGCAGGCCAAGTGGGCGAGGTCGTGCTCGAGGAAGCCGCCTGAGAAAGTCGCCGTAGAGAGGCAAAGTTGTCGTCGCCCCACGACTCTGCCTGCGCGGCACGATTGATAGCTCGAGCGTCAGCCCTGCGGGCGGCGCGGGCCTCGATATCTGCAATGTCCTCCGCTGCCTTCCTGGGCGTCGCGTCTGGCCCAGCGGCGGGGTCGTCTGCAGCAGCGCTGAGGTGATCGTCTCTCCATAGAGTCCGGTTGCGACATCGCCGGGCGTTTATTGTCTTTGCCTGACTTGTGCTCGAGGCGAATGCCTGGGAAACCTGCTCTATTCGAAACAGGCGCCCCTGGGCGATGCGAGCGTGGACGTCCTCCTGGGCAGGGGTCTTCCGGCGCATTCGCGTGGAAGCGGGCGGGGCCCCCGCGGCATCGGACTCCAAGCGGCCAAGGAAAGCCTGCCAACCTGCGGGCGCGATGTCTACTCCGGACGCGGTGCTCGCATGCCATGGGGAGAACGCGGCCATGAAGTATTCTGCGTGCAGACGCTGCTTGCGCTGCCGCGCCATCGTCTGCTTCCCCTGGCATGGTCCAGTGCAGGAGGGAGCCGCGGCGGTGGCTGCCCAACAAAAATGGGAACGTCAAATTTGGCCTTGGCTTTGATTTCGTACTCAGCCGCCAACGGGTGGGGCTCCAGGAGCTCGTAGGTGGCATTCGGGCGTCTGCCAGGCTTCTGGCTTCGCTCGTCTGCCCTGGACTTCTTCGCCACCTGCATGGACATGACGAACTCGTCAAAAGTCAGAGGCAACAGCTGCAAGGATCGGTAAGCATAGTGCTCTGCTTGTGAGACTGCGATGGACTCGCCGTTGGTCGTCTTGTAGATGCTGCAAGTGCCCTGGCGGACAGGTTCGCCCACGTGCTCCGCCGCGTCGACCACGTCCGGGGGGCCCCCGTGGGCGGCACCTCCCGTTGAGCCGCACTCCGACGCGGGAGTCGCCGAGGAGGCCTCGCCGGCCGCCGGGGAGGCGGAGGCTGTAGACAGCAAGGCACCGCCGCGCTGGAGCTCCTGCAGCAGGTGCACCGCGTCCCAAACGTACGAGTTCACGAAGCTGTGAGAGTGCCCGCTGGAAGACGCGCCCAAGGCGATGGCGGCAGCTTGAGTGGGCGCTAGCTCCGTGGCAGCCGAGCTGAGCACGCGCTGCAAGAAGTGCTTCGCTGCTCTGTCGCCCGTGTCAGCGTCGATGGCGCTGGAAGGGTAGCGATCGATGTGGTGGCGAGCGTCTGCGAGGACGGACAGGGGGGCAGCCAACTCGCACGCGTCCTTGACCATGTACTTGCACATGTACATGCCCGCGGCCTTCGCAGAGCCCCCAGCGCCCAGGAGCAGCGGCGCTGTGTTGGAGCCCAAAGACCCAGAGAGGACCGGGCAGTATTCAACCAACCATGCGTTCCGGCACGACATGCCGCGCCAAGCCCGGATCAATTTGAGGGCCTCCTCGTTGGAGCAATCGCGCATGCGATCGCCAAGAGCGGGAGGGAGTTCGCGCCGCTCCAAGAGGTAACGCAGCTCGTCCCTGACGGAGCCGACTAAGCGGAGCGCCTCGGAGCCGGCCATGGCCTCAGCGTCAGCCTCAGACAGGCCCATGAAAAGCTGAGGAGTCGGGAACGAGGTGCTGTCCGGAGCGATGCGTGGTCTGCAGAGCTCGTGGGACAAACAGGCGGCAGCGCCGCTGTCGTGCCGCGGCGCTGCACGTCGAGCCCAGAATCGGGACGGCGCTCGGCAGTCGGCGCACGCCCATTGCACGCGCCCGTCTGGAGTAGCCATGGCCTGGTCGGCACCAGGGTCGTCTGCATCGGGGTTGGCAAGCTCGACGGCGAGCACGCGCGTCTCGGGCACTGGGTGTCCTGCGGGCCGGGCCATCCTGCAACCATCTTTTCCTGATGCCCCCTTGTGGCACGTGCTGGCGTGCTGGTGGAAGCCGGTGGCGACGGCTGTGATGGCAGCGCCGATGTCGAAGGAAAGGCTGTCAGCATCGCTGAGCACCTGGCGCGTTTGGAAGCACGGCAGCTTCGCGGCGGGGACGCGGAGCAGACGGCGAGAGAGGTCCAAGACGTGGATCTCCGGGGAGACGTAGGCGCGGCACACGGCATCCAACGCCTGGCACACCACAGTCTCCAGCGCTGGGAAGCCCGCGACGTCGGCCAAGAGCTCCGGGGTGGCGCCCGCGTGAACGGAGGCGTGGAAATGGAAAGACTTTCGCTGGTTGGTTTCGTGGACGAAGCTCCATCCGAACGGCGTCCCCAGGAAGCCTTTTGGGACGTCCTCCGCGCCGGCGCTCTTTTTCCTGCGGTGGTTCGGCGGTAGGGCCACGAGCTCCGTGAAAATGGCTTCAGACATCTGCTCGTAGACGAGGGTGGTGGCCACCAGGTTCATGGTCGCAAGTGTCTGCAGGAAGGCCTCGTCCAGGTCGAACTTGTACGTTGCGTCAGGCGAGCGCATACCAGGGACTCCTCGCAAAATCTCTGCACGGCGTCCTCAGGCGCCTCTCCGCGAAGCACGGGTAGTAGAGCATCCGGACTCGAAGGGAAGACGTCGGCCTTGCCAGCGCGGTAGCTCAGCTGGAACGCCTTGCAAGGGGCATCTACGCTGACGCCGCCGTCAACACCTCCGCCGATGACCCCCTGCCGCCCGAGGCTGCCGAGCACAGACGCCATGACGCACTGTCGCCGACGCGACCCAGGCGCGGGCCGGCAGGGGGGTCGGCGGAGGAGCATCGCGCTGCGATGGGCGACAGCGGCTTCGCACAGACGCCCCCCTCCTTCGGTTGGTGGACGTCGTCGGGGGCGCGCGCGAGGAAGGCGGGGGCGGGGCCGAAGCGACGCCACATTGCATACAGTTTCGTAATCTCGCCCGCTCGTTCATCACCGCTCCATGGCACCACCTTGCCCGCGGATGCCGTGAACCGCAAGACTTGCTTCAACAAGTCTCTGGCGCTCTTGCTCGCGGGGTCCTCCTTGGCAACGCGCAAGCGCTCGAGGTGCGCGTCCTTGTCGGCTATCATGTTCGCGAACGCCTGGAAACTGCCCGGATCAGTCTTCACGCGGACGCCGACCCCCTTCGCGGCAGCGTGTCTTTGATCTTGGTTGGCAAGCAAGAAGAGTAAACTTGGCTGCTGCGCGAAGCTGTTGTGGAATTGCGCGAGCAGGTGGCGGGAGTCGTGGGCGCCCGCCGAACCTTTGGAGCGGAGGCCCTGGCGCAGTGGGAATAGGTGCCAGAATGCCCCGTACAGGGTGTCGCCGTTGTTCGCGAACTCGTTCGTGGGCCGCAACTCCCGCGCACAGGGGCGCCCCCGCAGCGAGGCAGTGGCGCCGTTCGAAGACTTCAGAGCCTTTGCGAGCGGAGCGGAAGAATCGTCGCCAGGGTGCCCGCCCCCCTCGCGCAGAACGTCCATGAGACCATCGAAAATGGCGCCGGTGACCGGGTCGGCGGTGCGCGCGAGCACGCCCTCGGGGTCAAGGGCGACAGGCGGCGCCGGATCTCCACCTGCAGACGTGGAGAAGTGCATGGCCTGAAGGTCGTCGTGCATAGCCACATCTCTGACGTTTGCCACGTCAGATGGTAGACTGGCTTGTTCCACGGCGTCGTCGACTACGTAGCGAGCCTGCGCGGCCAGCTGGTCGTGCAGCGACGCGAGCAGGCGTCCAAGCTCGTCGACTGAAGGCAATGCCATGTCGGAGACGTGCTCGAGAGCTTGTCGCAGTGCGAGGTGGTTGCGCAAGACGTGAGGGCGCATTTGCATTGCCGGCACAGAGAGTGCCCGACGCTCCAGGTCCGTAGTCCTCCCGTCGGGGCCAACGAACAACAGCTGCACATTCGCCAAGACGTTTGCCAAACGAGCTTCGTCGAAGTGTTTGCCCAATACGGCCGGCCCGTCCTGGAGGAAAGATATCATGTGTCCCCGGAGCACCGTGCGGGGCGCCACCGTGGCGCGTCGCTGCGGCACGTGTACCTTCGCCACAAGACTGCATGCGCGAACGTCAGCCAGAGCAAGAGCCTCAAGCTTGGAAGGAGCGTCCAGGCCCAGCCGACACAATAGTCCAAAGTCAACGCCTGCTGCAATTGCGAAGGGCGGCGGGGAAACACCTTTGTTGACGGCCGCTCGATGGCACACAGGGCACAGGAACACGAAGTGTGGACCCTGACCGTCAACGTTGACCAACTCTGGGTGGACGTGGAAATGGTTGCCTCGAGGGTCCCGCCAGTAGCTCCTCAGCAACGCTGTATGGACGACGCGGGACGTGCCGTCCGCATTGACCATGTCGACCGCGGGCATGTCGCTCAGCGCCTGCACGTCGGCGTCGGAGTACCGGATCCAGTGATCATGTGGAAGAGACTCTAAAGACCACTTCCTCTCGGCGGGGTGCTGGGGGTCCCTGCGGCCGCAAGTCCCGCATCCTGGCAGGAGAGCGTCGTGGGACATTGCGTCGGCATAAGAGGAGACCAGCCTGCGCTTGTCGGCCTCCGTGACAGAGCAGTGCCGGACCACGTCATCTGCGATCCGTTGCTTCAAGTGGTCTGCAGGGGGGGTAGCTTCGGACGCGGCGCGGAGGCGCCGAGAATTCCTGGAGACCTTGTAGCCGGATTCGTCGTGAAGGCGGTTCAGCAAGGCAAAAGCGTCATCAGACTGAGCGGCGTGGAGGGCACGGCGCGTCCTGTGGCGTTCGCTCTCCCGCTGGCGGACGTGCGGTTCCTGACGATGCTCCTTCTGGTACTCCTTCTGTCGCTGGCGGACGCGTGGGTCCTGACGATGCGTCCTCTTGCGGGCAGCATCGGCTGCAGGCCCCAGTCGCAGTGCGGAGTAGTGTTCCTGGCCCCTCCTGCGCTCGTCCAACTCCAAGTACACCGGGTCTGCGGGGTTGGACTCATCGTACCCCGGAGGTATGAGGACGGTCGGCCGTTGAGTGGACTCGCGCCTCCAGACGGCGATAGGTCGGCCGAGAAGCCT